CAGTAAAGAACTAAAGAATAAAGAGTTGGGATTGTTTAACTCTTAAATTATGATTCTAGATGTAGTTAAAAATATTATTTTAATTTATTTTTTTTTTTTACTTATTTATTAATTTTTTTTTCATTTTTACATTCATATTGAATGAGCTGGGAATCAATTAGTATATATCATTAAAAGTCTATACATCACCATATTTGTCATCTTGTTGAATATATATTACAGTATATTTTGACAATATTATTTGAAGAATTTTGTTTAATACTTAAAATATATTTTAAACTAACCATTTTTTTTTACTAATATATCGGAGTATTTGCATTTCGTATTATTACTTAATGTGAATGTTTATGTATAACTATGATTAATTAATTTCACAAATATTTAATCATCATGTTTAATAAAATATTAAGATAAATTATTTTATATTAATAAGTAATATGTTATTTAAATTGATATTTTGTGGTGTTATCATATACAAACTATTAACTGACATTAATTAGTCTTAAAGGGGATGAAGTTGTTGAGTATGAGGCATCAGTGCCATACACAATGTTGCTGATTCATAGTCACGTGAAGTTTGTCTTTTTAGACCGATTACTTTTTAAAGAAAAAAAGTATAATCTTTCTTTGTGTCTAAGAGTTTTATACTATGTTTCTTAAAATTCTACTATAAAAGAATCAAGGATGGCTAGAACTTCTGTCCATTGCCATAAAAAAATAAAAAATAAGTTCTATAATTAATTTATAATTATTCTGAGTGATAAATTAAACTTGAGACACATTATTTAAAAAACCATTAATATTTTTAAAATATTTCTTTACCATAAATTTAAATTGTTATTGAACAAAATTTTGTTAAATAAACAACTATATTTTTACTAAATAATTTTTTTTTCCAAATCATATTTTTTTTTAGGTACTTTGATATATTTTAAAAATTGAATTTTAAATGAATAGTTATGTATCATAATCATAATTAATTAACTAATTTTCCAAAATGTTTTTATTGTAAATTGAAATACTTCAGATAATCTTCTGTATCCATGTATGAAATTAAAAATATATTTAGTCATTCAAAAATAAAAACTTAAAATTTAATACTGTAAAATATATTAAAAAATACATTTTTTTGTCCAAAATTTTAATATTTTCAGAAATAATAACTGTCTTACATTCGGATTATCCCCATGTAATTAAAAATATTTTATTTTTTAAAATTAATAAAATGATTATTACCAGTATTGAAGTTTTTATAAATTGTTAAGAGTCAATAAATTATCAAATGTTCTATTTATAGATCATTGCTATATAACATTGTAATTCGTTTTGGTGATTAAATAAACCAATCATTTTCTGGTCCTATTTCAATCTGTTAAATATTATTTACAGATGAATTGGAACAGGTTGAGGTGGAAAGGTATAGCAGGCGTAAGAGTTCGCAGGCTGCCACTGCCAAAATATCTGAATTTGCTCGTCAACTGTTACATACATCAGCCAGATGTTATGGTCTGTCTCTGATGTTATATATTCTTATTTTCTGTGTATATTAAAAATATAATAATGATAATTATCGATCGCAGATCCAGGAGGTATTCTAAAAATGCTTGTCCTAGTACATATTATCTGTCTATAATTATTAATTAATTATATTATTCATTAGGCTTAATGATGAAATTATAAATTAAATACTTAATAATTTTTCAGTATTAAAATTTAAACAACATTTGTAAAATATAGACTTTATAATTTTTATTCAATTGATCGATTTTGTTACACCTGGATCTGTATTATAAAATGCAATTTTAAAAAATCTATTGCATGTAAAATATTTTTACTTAAATATTTTAAAAAGCTGATATTATTTAAATGTGTTTATACTTGATGGTTCATTTTGTAGGTAAATAGTTGTCTATAATAGTGTGTTTTTTGTTATATATTATGCTTGGTTAAAAATATGTGTATATTACACATATAATATTTATATGAAAGACATTATGTATTATGTAAAATATAGCATGGTGATTTAGATATTTAGTTAATAAATTTATGTTCTTATTATTGATATTATTTTGGTTATTTTTGGCTTTCAATTTTCTTTGGGAAATTTTGATATAGTTTAATGGTTATTATTTACTACGAATGTTGCATGTATTGTTTTAAATATGTAATAGTACATATCAATAAAATTATTTATTTTTTAGGGGAAGAAGAAAATATTACTGAAGAGAAGAGTCGAAGAAGAGGTAGACACACTGAACAAACAACTTTAACTACATCTGAAGATCTGCCTTTAGACAATGCTCTTCTTCAGTTACTTTTAAATCAAGTCATGCATCATCCAGATGCTTGGCCATTTTTAAGGCCTGTTACTAAGTCTCAGTGTCCTGATTATCATACAATAATAAAAACTCCCATGGATTTGGGCACTGTAAAGTATAAACTTAATATGCTATCATACAGAACAAATGCAGATTTGTTAAGTGATATGGAATTGATTTTTGAAAATTGTTTTTATTACAATTCAGAAAATTCTGAAGTGTTCAAGTTAGTTATGAATACAATATAATTATGTTGGAATAGTTAATAAAAGTTATTTCTTTGTATTTTATTAGGTGTGGTGAACAAGTATATAATTATTACAAAAAATTATGTCAAGAATGCAATTTGAAGGATTTCAGTGAAGATGGTGTATTTGAAGGCCCTCCATTAAAGAAATCAAAACACAGTTTATAAATTTAACATTTGACTAAATGTTAGAATTTGAACTAGGTTTTTTCTTACATAATTAATAATTTACCGATCATGTCACTTAGTATTGTTTCGGTGGTCCTGTTAAATTATTCATTACATCTTTCCCTTAGATTTTCAAAATATTATTGAGTAGTTTATTTACCAGCAGTCTGATTCAAGTATGAGTCATTTTTAAATTGGTTTGATGGTTCTTAAGAACTATATAAATATTAGTTAGAATAAGTATAATTTAAATTAAATTAGATATAATTATTTTTTCTACTTGGCAATGATGCTTTATCCCAACACGCAAATGACGAAAAGTGTATTGTGATCCATTCTATTATTACTAATAATAGATTATACTTGCTGTATATTGAAGCTAAAATTCATTTAGACTATGAAACTGTTTTTAAAATCATTGTTGTATTTCCTTATTATATATTGTGATTTTTAAAGAAAAACATATTTTTATTCAAACAAAATTCAATCAATTACATTATACTTTGATATATTGTAAGTCTATGACATGTGAATAGTATATCATAATTTTATTTTATTTTTAGTTGTACGAATAGTGTTTATATAGAATAATAATATTAATTTTAGTATATTTTGAACTCTGTTCAAAATTCAGTATGGTCTATTTGTACTGTCTCTATTGATTTTTTTTTTTTTTTTTTTTATTTATCATGTATATTGATCCTCGGCTCAAACCTTTTATTTTGTTCTCTGTAATATAATATAATGAGTTTCTTTTAAGACATAGTGCTAAGTGCTATGTTTCATTAATAATTATAATTAAAATAATAATAAAAAAACAAATTTCAATGTAATTATGCGTTTATGTATTAGATAAACGCAGTCAATCTTTATTTTCTATATTATTTAAAGTATTTTAATTTGTGTAACACAATTCCTATTTTCGTATTTTTTACTTATTATTAGTATTTTCATTTCTTTTTTTTTTTAAGTTAAATATTAGTTTACATTAAATTTTTTTAAGAAAAGATGTTGTTTTATTTTGTTATTTTAAATTATATTTTAATATTTCAGCAACTTACAGAAATATATTAGGTGGGTCATGGTTTTAATTATGAAAATACCCATGATATGTGTATTGTGTATGATGTAACCAGATGACATGTCTTATTAGTGCTGCAACTAGGGATTTGGGAACCCAAATGCAGACCAAATGTTACATGTATTAATATAGTTTAGTGTCTAAGTTTTGGGGACCTTCTTATGAGATTATGAGTCCACTTTTAGGATGCAATGTTCTGTTAGTTGTGATACTTTGTATTATATATTATTGGTTTTAGCATAAAATATTGAAACTGAACATCATACAATTAGGTCTTACTATACCATTCTTATTTTTTTTTCATTAATATTTTTAATTAATTAATTAATTTCTTATAGTCAATTTCTGTCATATAACTTTTTAAAGATTAGAAATTGAATAACAAATTAATTTTTTTTAAATAATATTTTAAATCAATTTTTGATTATAAGAAAAAATATTGGGTTAGTTAGAAATTGTTTTTTTTCCAGAAAAAATAATTCAGAAATCTGAAATTGTTAATTAATGTTTTTTATTATGATGCTGAGTATAATTTGACTCATTAATTTATAGGTATTAGAAAAATGTAACGATTTATTGTATAAAACTTGTTTTGTTCTATAAAAACTTCTCAATGAGATAATTATTCTTCATGATATCCAATAACTTAGATATCTTTGTTCTATTTTAACATGGTTAAATTTAGCAGGATTGCCAATACATAAAAACCATGAAATTTTGGTCTTTTAAAAAAATTAATTTATTAATATATTATAGTTAAATACTAAAAATCCATTGGTCACATTTTGATATTCAAGTACTTGATAAATTGTTTCTAAGTTTTTAGATCTAAAAATATATTAATAGTCATTTGCAACAATAAATTATTACTTCCTCATTCTTAACATTCATATTAATGATTAATACCTTATGCATTAGCTTATATTTTGCTCACGATATATCCAGTCCATTTTAGTTTAAGCGTTCTGAAATGTTTGTATGTTTGGTCTATTTCAATAACTGTTGTACAATATTTTTTAAATTTATGCGGGAAATATTGGTATATTGTCATATTATTATCATATACCAAGCGCTTGTCATGGTTTTCGGGCACTATCACTATTACGACCAATCAGGGGACAGGACGTGAAAGATAAAATTTCATGTCGAGTAGTGGGTACACCTAGTGTGTAAATGCTAAATACATTACAGTATTATACATACGACATAGCTATTATAGCCATTGCGACTGCGTTTCACGTTTGCATCGCCCTTCGACTGCTGCCCGATCTCAGAGGTCAATACATTTTTCTGCTGTTTTCAAGAAAAACGAATTCACGGTGAGTAAAATGCTTTGAATTTATGTTGTATTGTTATGATAGTTCACCTCCAATTTTTTGCGGTGAGATGATAAATCTCTACTACGACATATAATTGACTTGCCGACGGTGGTACTTGACGTTCATTGTCAGGTTTTATATCTATCAAATAATATCGTTGCCCAACGACGTTTACCTCAGAATCTGTACTTGAGTATCATCACATACTTTATCTCCTATAAAATGTGCGTTACCAGCATAATTGAATCTAGGAATTTTCATTGTTATTGCTAATGTAAACTTTACGTACATTTTGAATACGTCTAAAGTTCTAACCTAAATCTACCTCCGAAGTAATAATTATTAAAAATTGGAATTTACACTACATGTTGTTTAGAGATGTACAATTCGAAATCTATGACATGTTAGTATTGTCTTAGGAGTGAATTTTGCTCAGATCAATAATTACTCTTAGAATTACAAGGATTGTTAATCAGTCTTGATTCTGATTAAGAATAATAAATTGTTTCACAGTATAAGAAATGATTAATGATATTGGGGCCTTCTCACTAGATTTATTTAGTTATAAGGGCATGGGCGAACCAAGACCAGTTTTCGTCCACCACTCGATTTATTTATAGATAAAGTAGAAGACTGCAATATATATTTGAATGTCTATTATTTTTGTTATTACTTATTGATGCATTTGTTTTTAATATCTGCATTTTCATTATTTTTATTAATGTAAAGTTAAGTTCATTAATAGAATTAACGAGCTTAGAACCTTTGCAAATAAGATTTTTTGATTTTAATATTTGGGTTATCAACACGGTTATTTAATTTTTATTAATAACTTTTAGATGGCCGATGAAAAGTTAAGCCGCAAAATGATTTTTCCATACACATTCACAGCTAAGGTTGCCCAATTTCCATTTAAACTACATTTCAATAATCATTGGATGTTCCCATGGTTCATTGGAGCAGCTGTAATGGTTTCACCTGTTTTTTATCTAATTCAAAAAGCTGGTAATTATATATTTCATAATAGGTATACCTACTAGTAATAAAAATGTCTGAGCAAAATCATATTATTTTTTAGCCAACTGTGAAGCTAATATAAAGATTTGGGCTGATAAAAGGAGAGCGGAAGAAGAACATCACAAACACAAGTGGGACTAAACAAGTTTCTGAGAAGTTGTGTAGAAAATAAAAATAAAACAACTGTCATTCAAAATTTAAATTTTATTTCTAATAGAGTTACTGCAAGTTTTATAAATATATTTAAAATAATTATAATGTAATATACATCATAGTTCAGGAGATACATTTTCGTTGACTTTGGTCCATTTCTCACTGACTTTCCATAACCATTCAACCGTCTTTTGATCGCGTGCTTGAAATGGTAATGGCATTATTTTGAAATTACTAAAAGAAATACATAACAATAGTAAAGTGATATTTGGTATTATTTAAAAATAATACATAAATATTCTAATAAAATAATAGTTTTATTTTGGTAATGATTTTAAATGTTAAGAAGGTAAAATTACCTGATGAATTGTCCGCTAATATTTTCAAGTTCTGGATCTAAAGCTGCATGAACTAGAGTCTGAGATCCTTTGGCTGCTGATTTTAAAAGCACCCATGCCATTGGTTTTATAAAAAGTTTAGTAAAACTATTATAATAAGGTAAATGTCTTGAAATATCTGTTGTACAGATACCAGGGTAGATGGCATTTACTGTAACTCCGGTATCTATAAATTGAATAAAAATATTAACTACAATTATTATGGTGATTTAATATTTACAACTAAAAACCACATTCAAAAATAATGTAAAAAAGAAATACTGTATTAAAAAAAAAAAAATAGTTACAATCAATACACTAACCTTTTAACTTTTCAGCTAATTTATTTGTAAACATAAGATTTGCAAGTTTACTTTGATTGTACGCCTCTTCTTCATTATATGACAAATCAGAATTTAAATCTTTTTTGTTAATTTTACTAGATCCGTGTTTCAGCGTTGTCACATTAACAATTCGACTAGGAGTGCTTTTTTTCAAACAGTCTAAAAGTAAATTGGTTAACAAAAAATGGCCCATATGATTGACACCCAAATGAGTTTCAATTCCTTCTTTGGTTAAGGATTTACTGCACATCATGACTCCAGCATTATTGATTAAAACATCCAATCTATTAAATTCTAATTTAAAAGTTATAATTTTAATGATTTTATAGATTTTACAAATATTAAAATGAAAATTCAAACCTTTTTGAAATTTTGACGCAAATTGTCTGATAGATTCTTGTGATGATAAATCACATTTTCTACAGTAAAGTCGTTTGTTCCTTGACATAAGTGCTAGTTCAATTCGACTCTGTTCTAAGGACATTAAACAATTTAGAAAAAATATACATATTTAAATAATTTAGAACTTATTATTTAGAAATATTTTAATAATAATGCTATGATAAATAAAAAAAATAATTTTAAAGCACTAGTTTAAGTTTAAGTGTTAGAAAAACATATTATGGCATTTTATTCAAAACAGATATATTATTATGTTTACATTAACCTTTTCACATTTTTCCATATCTCGACATGCCATCACGACTGTTGCATTTTTAATGGCCAACAGTCTTGCGGCTTCTTTACCTAGGCCACTATTTGCACCTGTAATTATGATCACTTTGTTGGCAGCTGAAGTTTTAATTTTGTAATCTTTTCCAGACAACACATCTCTAAAATAATATTAAAAGAATAACAACGATATGGTAAATCAATTGGCAGATGGCTAGAATTAAGCGTATGGTGATATTTCTGAGGCAATACAATAACATACTTGATCAAATAAGCACCACCACACACCGTACCAAAGACACTGATGTAGATCAAAGGTTTAGGTATATTGATCATATTGCGCTGGATGTTAGGTCCAACAAAGTAAATCTAGAATCCGAGATATATATCTACGGTTTTTTTAATGTATAGCTAATTGAATAAAATACGAAATATTAAAACTTAATTTGTATAGTTCGTGTTTCACTACTTTAGGCTTAGAATTAGAAGTGAACGTGACTTTATCAGCTGCGACTTACGGCGTTTTATTAATCTTTTTGAGACGGTTTGTCAGATTTGTGATAAGAAAGAAAATCAGTTGTGCAATGAATTTTAACACATGGTGACCAACACAATAGCGCAACAAAACTCACGCAGTAGTAGCCTCTACTACTGCGTGAGCCTTATTTTATGATACTTTTAAAAATTAAAATTTTCCACAATTTCTATCTGAACTCAATAAAATCGGACAGTTTGCAATCCCCTTAAATTAAATTTAAAAAAAAATAAATATAGAAATTGATGTTTAAAAATCAATTTTATGCTTTACAGTTTTTGTGTGTGTGTGTGTGTTATCTTCTTGCAAAATTTCACAATTCTCAAACTATTAAAAACAAAAATTACAAATTTAGTATACAGTAATAATTTTTATCTTATAGGTAGTTTTAACTGTTTTTACAAAATTCAAGATGAAAAGAATATACTATAATAATAATAATAATAATAATAATAATAATAATAAAACAATTAATTAGGTACCTACCTAATAGGCTATAGGTATTAAATTAAAATTTCTCTCTTAGTCATTGTTAACAAATTTTTCTTATAACAGTGGTTGTTGAATAATTTTGATTAATTATTTATTATGTTATTAAAAAATAAAAAAAAATAAACTTGTCATTTGCGCATTGTATTAGGACGATACCGTCGATGGGTACCAGTGTGTGGGCGATACTTATACAATAGGTATTAAAATAAAATGTACATTAATTATTGGAAGAGAAAAATGATTAACTATAAAAAAGATAAGAACTATACAATAAAAATCGATTCGTATGGTTGGCCGTTGCCGCTAAATTTTCGGTGATAATAATTTACTACTACCGATATAACAGTCAACTATTCAAGGTATAGGAACGGCCATACTGCAGTTACGACCAAAAGTCGTCCGATGAACAATATTTATAGACAGTGAAGAATGCGTAATAATTGTCATTTAGTAACTTCGAACACAAGTAAGTACATAACATTTACTGAAATGTCTGTGTGAGCGGGGATGGGGCTTAAGAATTCCGGCCAACCGTAATAAATGTGTTTACCATATTATATAGATATCTACATCCTCTCCCGTCATGAAATTTTTTATTCACGATCTGCTAAACGTTCTGAATTAATTACTAACACTAATTTTTTTCGAGAAATAATATCTAGTGCAATAAGGTACCATGGAGTATTAGCAAAATGTTTAAATAATTTTTATTGAAAAATGAATATCGAAACGTTTTATTTCATATTTGTCATACTATATACCTAACTATTACACGTTACCTATACATAAAATAAATAAAAATTTGCAGTTATTGGCTAATGTGAATTGCGATATAGATAATAGGTACCTACAGTATGCTAACACCTTAGGCGTAGAATGGGAAGGGCTAAGGGGAATATAGCTCGGAATTTTGTTTAGCCTTTCCATGCAAAAATTTACTGGTTTTACGTCGTTCATGTATGAGGACCGAAACGTTTTTCTGTTTTAATTTTTTAATAAAAATAATAGCAATGTATCTTCCATAGAATATTTTAATTGATGATTCAAATTTTAAATTACCTATTTAGTTATTTATACATTACAACATATCTATATAAATAACTAATAAGTAATAACCATAATAATATTTTGTAATATACTTTTATATAATATAATATTTAGTCATTTATAAGCCATAACGTTATCATTGTCGGTCGATGTTTCTGGGAACTAAGCTAATTTTTGTTGTGCACTTACACACTAGGCGAATGATTCGTGCGCCTATACGCCATTATAATTATTCTCTACGAACATTCGCTTAAAATTAAACAGCTTGTACTAGATTAGGTTATTTGCACTATGTAAAGTAAGTGGATAAAATCCACCATCGCCTGTCATAGTCCTATTTTTATTTTGTTTTTTTAAAATTTTTCTTTAGTAACATTTTTAGAATATAAAAATCAGTACCTGAATCATTAAAGGCTAAATTCCTATCCCCGTTTATAAATTCTCACGCTATGTCTATAGTTTATACTCGTTTTTTCATTTAATAATAATGAATTTATTCAAATTCTGATTTTTGGAATGTTCAAGTAGGTATATTAATAAGGATAATATTTTCAGGTACTTCGGTATTTGGATGGTTTTATACCATTAATGGAGTTTTTTGTGGTGGTAAAAACTTATTATTTTTCAAATGAGAACCCTGGTCCTTTTTCCCAGTAAATAATTTAGTGGATAATTTTTCCGCCATGTATTTTCTGTACAATATGACCGTAAGACATTCGAAATCACTATAGGTACTTAATATGCGCTCGTACACATTTAGCATAGGTCATTGGTCAGTACCATTTGGTCGCTCGGTGACATAGGCAGGTGTAACATTACGCCGCGTTCACATATTTGAAGCGATTTTGTTGTTCGTTTTACCTACAACGGTTTACGATTTCGAAAAATTATTGACAATTTCCATATTATAAAGATAGATATTATTTTTACCACAATACGTGCATAATATCGCGTGTAGACATTTGAACTATTTGTGTTCTTTTTTTTAGCCCATATACGATCCACCATAAAGTAGGGTTAAAAACAAGTGCACCTTAATAAGGTAAAAAATATGTATATATCTCGGAATACATAATATTTAATATTAATAATATTATGAAAACGAGTTACGATAGCCTACTTTGCTAGTGTGTTTAATTATCGGTTTCTAAACTTTTAAAAACAATTAACTATACAATTTTAAGAGAATAATAAAGTAATAACTTATAGTATAATACTTATCTCTTGAAATGAATATAAATTAAATATACTTATTTATAAATATAATCAACAGAACATTTTTAAAACGCTTAAAGTACTTATATTATTATTCATATTTTTTTATTTTTTTTTATTTTCACAAGTAATAAACAATCTGTATCAATTAATAGACACAATAAGAATAATGTTAACAGGTCATGAGGTTTTGTTGAAATAAGCCACTCATTGATAACACTTTCTGTTAGCTTGATAATTAATTTAATTTAAGAGATCACGACACCATTTACGTTTCAAACGTCTCGGAGGATTTCTTGGTATTATGGGGGTGGCCTAGTTTTTTATAAGTTGATTTGGATGATTATTTAAACGGTAACGGAATCTT